CTTATTATTCATTCTGCGGCGGTAAACAGCCGTATACAAGCAACGCACACGTAACATGCACACACCGGTAACACACGCGCTACGACACACACGGCACGTACATCATGCACACGCACGCACGCACAAACGCACCGCACAGCACACGCACACGCACACGCACACCGCACACGTCACGACGACACACACACACACAAACACACACACACAGCGGCGGCAACAATGCACACGACACGCGCATCAAGGTTAGGGTAATAAACAAAAAACGTAAACGTTACAAATATTTAGCAAAAAGGTGTAGGGTCGGAGGTATCCTCCCCTATATGAAAATACGTGCATTGACACATGCATTAGAGACGCATGCGCAAAAACGTTACTCAGTGTCACCTTGCGTCGATGCATTCGATGGATTCTTGCCAATTAATTTAATTGGACAGTAAATTTGAAGCGTCGTAGAAATCGCATAAACATTTGCGAAGTTCGCGGTAAAACACTAGTTACCTGGACATTATCGAATGTGAATTTGATGTGTCACGTTTATGCGTGCATCGGAATAAGACGTAGTTTGCCTTGTCTAGCTCTTCCGTTGAGACGTTGAGGCCATGCAGAGCAAGCCATCGTTTTAACGCTGACACGGGAGTATAGCTAACAGATATGGCCAAGCTGCGGAATGCAGGCATCAGCTGTAATGCTGCACCATCGTCTATAGCAGCGCTTCTGTCTTACCTGGGCTGATTAGTAGCGAGTCCTGACAGCGCGTCGGCTGAGGTTTGGCTCGACTTGATAGAACGTGGCCTCTCACCAGTCGACGCACAGATTTATCCATGTTTCCTCAAATACGAGAGCGAGGAGAGACCACACGAATAAATCGATTATCGATACACGTCGGATGTGATTATGGTTCCGCTTCTTTTAATACTCTTGATTGTCATTGCTCCTAGTTTTACTTCGAAATTTCTTCCACTCATTATAGGTCTTAATGCCCGTTGTTATTGGAGCGTGATCTGCTTCATAGGGCGGTTTTCTCACACACGTACCAGACTCTAGTGCAGGATTTTACACAGACGCGTACCTTATTCTAGAGTACAGGTTTTCTCACGCATGTACTTATTCTAGAGTACAGGTTTTCTCACGCATGTACCTTTATTCTAGAGTACAGGTTTTCTCACGCATGTACCCTTATTCTAGTGCAGGTTTTCACACAAACGTACCTTATTGTAGTGAGGTTTCACAACAAAGGGGGGCGTACTTATTGATATACGAGGGTTCACGTGCTTGTGCCTTCGTCAGCTGTTGCTTCAGCTCTCTGTAGATCGGTTAGTTTCTCACAGTCCATTTTTTCGAATTCCCGTTTTTATTTCAAGTTCTTCGCCTTGATACCCGACGGGAACTTCACCTCTACGACAGACATGCCACTCTCGCCTGCCTTCATGTATCTAAAACAACAGAGATACTTACTGTTGCTAGTCTGCATGGATACGCGTCTGTTTTAGTGCTGCTATGGAATCGAACGCCGCGCAGCTTGGACGAGGATTAGATTGTCACCGGACTTAGACCATAGACTAACAATATCTAGTTTATAATAATAATATTGTTAGTCTATGCTTAGCCCACGTGTCAAACCGTTACAAATAGCGCCTATATCATGTACACACGACAGCACACCGTAACGCAAACATGGCGACGTATACCACGCACATGTGAGCACACCGTGACGCAAACATGGCGACGTATACCACGCACATACGACAGCACACAGTGACGCAAACATGGCGACTCGTACCTCGTGCACACTTCCAAGTCAATGGAATTGTCGGCGTTCTTCCAGGCCTTGGCGCTCGTGTTGAATGCGGGCGGAAGTAGATCCTGCAGCTCATTGTACTGGTAGGTGATCTGTAGCAGGCCGGTGCCACGGCCCGACGCCGTGTAGCGCACACCACGCTCCTTAGAGCCGACCTACGGTGTGAGAAGCAGCGCACCAAACATCAGTACGGGTTAGAGATAGATAGATAGATAGATAGATAGATAGATAGATAGATAGATAGATAGATAGATAGATAGATAGATTAGATAAGATAGATAGATAGATGATAGATAGATAGATAGATGGTGAGCGAAGAGAGAGGGGAGAGATGGGGAGCGAGGACATAGAGAGAAAGGGGTGTAGGGCGAGAGAGAGGCAGAGGCAGCGAGCGAGATGAGCGAGCAGACATGAGAGCGATTCGGCAAGCAGATAGAGAGAGTGCGGGGCAGCTCATCGCGCTAGAGCGAGAGAAGCGTAGGGAGAGAGAAAGAGAGGCGAAGAGGAGGGGAAGGGAGCAGAGAGAAGAGAGAGAGATAGAAATGGACAGAGCGAAAGGGAACATGCGCGACGCTCGCGCTGCAGAGCGAAGAAGCGTAGACAGGTGAGAGAAAGGAGAGAGCAAGAAGGGAAGTCGAGAGAGCTTAGAAAGTGGAGCGAGCGATGAAGAATGCGGCGTGCCGCGCACGTGCGTGCATAGCATGCGTGCGTCGCGCCGCGGCTGTGTGCGAGACAGATAAATACACAAAGATGTCGAAATGATAGATAGATGGGTTGGTATATTAATTATATTTAGATATAGATATAGATAGATAGAGATGATCCGGACGCGTAGCCTAGCGGCTCCTCGTCCGGAACCGGTCGCGTAGCCACGGCCTTTTTTTATCTAACATATTTTCAGAGATTGTTATATTACACCTACAGCCTAACACAACCGTTCAATTACGAGGCATAGCGGAAATAAATCAAGTTATAAGTCTAATTTGATAAGCGATAACAAACACTGGTTGGTGCTTAGACATAAAATTTAAAACTACCGATTACTGTGATCAAGTATACTTCCCAAATTATTGTTCTCCCAATATTTCCGATAACTAAACACTAATAATCACCCCGACCGCACCACTTTTCATACAACAATAAGGATAAAGATCAATAATTTTTCGACATTAATAATTCTAAGTGAATGCCATTTTACTAACGCGCGAAATATCCTGTTTGCGAAACAGCGTTCGGATAACTAGAGCAGCGTGGTGAAATCACCTGTCAGGGATTGAGGTAGGCAGCGACACCTAGTGGCAAACACACCTACAAATATGTGCCGAGGTGAACTATGTACAAGTGAAAATCATAGAAATAGTGGCATCAAAAAGATCATGCCTGGTGATAGCATCTCACCATCTCGTTAGACCACATCGTCAAGTATAATCTCAAATAAGATAATCTCAAGCGTAAATGAAAGAGGCACAGTTTACGGAGAAATTTTAATGCCGTGTGCAACTAAAGTCAGTTTTGATGATAATAAAAAGCAATATAGATAATCTGATAATCTCACCGATTGAACAACGATTGAACAACTCGGTTGAAAGCGCGAGCCATATTTTCATACAGAGGCATACAGAACAATCATTCTACTTTCTACACTCATACAGCTTGGGGGCTGAAACAGTGGGTATAACAACTACAGATTTACCAGCTTAGCATATTAGAACGAATTACCTTCATAAAATTATATTACCTCTTTAAAAGTACTTTATATGTTACTTTTCGATTATAATTTTTATACAATTTTCATATTCTACATCTACCTCTGTCAGTCTTTATGCATTGTTGTTCTATGATAACTTAATAGTAAAATTACGAAGGTCTTCAATGATATTTCGTTTTACAACATCGTTTATATTCTATACATAGGGTTTTTATCTTGGAGAACAACATGGGTGCGGTGAAACAGTAGATGTTATATCATCTCTCCGACTAAATGCTTGTTTCCGTATGTTTTTAGCTGCACATTCTTGAGTGATAGCATGTATATCGTTCATTTCCAATTCATATAATTACGTACACTCCATCTCTCTGTCTGTCTGTCTCTCTCTCTTATCCGCACCCCTCACTCCTTCTTTCGCTATATCTCATCGGCTCTCTTTCTCCCTCGTTCACACTCTGTCTCTCTCTCTCTCTCTCTCTCTCTCTCTCTCTCTCTCTCTCTTTCCTTCTTTTCCCTTTGCGATGGTGGTTTATTACCTGTGACCAATTTTCGGTGTGACACATTTTTGTGTGAGAATTTTTCCTCTGGTTAACT